TGTCTGTGTGTCTGTGTGTGTGTAGGTGTGTGTGTGTAGGTGTGTAGGTGTGTGTGTAGGTGTGTCTGTGTGTGTGTAGGTGTGTGTGTGTGTGTAGGTGTGTGTGTGTGTCTGTGTCTGTGTGTGTGTAGGTGTGTGTCTGTGTCTGTGTGTGTGTAGGTGTGTGTCTGTGTAGGTGTGTAGGTGTGTGTGTGTGTCTGTGTGTGTCTGTGTGTGTCTGTGTGTGTCTGTGTGTGTCTGTCTGTGTGTCTGTGTGTGTGTCTGTCTGTGTGTCTGTCTGTGTGTCTGTGTGTGTGTCTGTGTGTGTGTCTGTGTGTGTGTCTGTGTGTGTGTCTGTGTGTGTGTCTGTGTGTGTGTCTGTGTGTGTGTCTGTGTGTGTCTGTGTGTGTCTGTGTGTGTCTGTGTGTGTCTGTGTGTGTCTGTGTGTGTGTCTGTGTGTGTGTCTGTGTGTGTCTGTGTGTGTGTCTGTGTGTGTGTCTGTGTGTGTCTGTGTGTGTGTGTGTCTGTGTGTGTCTGTGTGTGTGTCTGTGTGTGTCTGTGTGTGTCTGTGTGTGTGTCTGTGTGTGTCTGTGTGTGTGTCTGTGTGTGTCTGTGTGTGTCTGTGTGTGTGTCTGTGTGTGTGTCTGTGTGTGTGTGTCTCTGTGTGTGTCTCTGTGTGTGTCTCTGTGTGTGTCTCTGTGTGTGTCTGTGTGTGTGTCTGAGTGTGTGTCTGTGTGTGTGTCTGTGTGTGTGTCTGTGTCTCTGTGTGTGTGTCTCTGTGTGTCTGTGTGTGTGTGTCTGTGTGTGAGTGTGTCTGTGTGTGAGTGTGTCTCTGTGTGTGTGTCTGTGTGTCTGTGTGTCTGTGTGTGATTGTGTCTGTGTGAGTGTGTCTCTGTGTGTCTGAGTGTGTGTGTCTGTGTGTATCTTTCTGTGCGTGTCTGTGTGTATCTTTCTATGCGTGTCTGTCTGTGTGTCTGTGCATCGCCACCGGGGAGACAAAGGCGGCCGGGCGTGGTTCTGGCCACCCACCCCCTCGTGTGCCGTTCCGGCCTTGATAGGTGCTCGCTAACAGCACTTGTTGAAGGTGAAGTGGTGAGTGAAGTGGTGAGTGATGAGTGAAGTCGTGAGTGAAGTGGTGAGTGAAGTGGTGAGTGAAGTGGTGAGTAAAGTGGAGTAAGTGAAGTGGTGAGTGGTGTAGTGAAGTGGTGAGTGAAGTGGTGAGTGAAGTGGTGAGTGGTGAGTGAAGTGGTGAGTGGTGAGTGAAGTGGTGAGTGAAGTGGTGAGCGGTGAGTGAAGTGGTGAGTGGAGTGAAGTGGTGAGTGAAGTGGTGAGTGGTGAGTGAAGTGGTGAGTGAAGTGGTGAGTGGTGAGTGAAGTGGTGAGTGAAGTGGTAAGTGGTGAGTGAAGTGGTGAGTGAAGTGAGCTAAGTGGTGAGTGAAGTGGTGAGCTAAGTGGTGAGCTAAGTGGTGAGTGGAGTGGTGAGTGAAGTGGTGAGTGAAGTGGTGATTGAAGTGGTGAGTGAAGTGGTGAGTGAAGTGGTGAGTGAAGTGGTGAGTGAAGTGGTGAGTGGTGAGTAAAGTGGTGAGTGAAGTGGTGAGTGAAGTGGTGAGTGAAGTGGTGAGCTAAGTGGTGAGTGAAGTGGTGAGCTAAGTGGTGAGTGAAGTGGTGAGTGAAGTGGTGAGTGAAGTGGTGAGTGAAGTGAGTGAGTGAAGTGAGTGAGTGAAGTGGTGAGTGAAGTGGTGAGTGAAGTGGTGAGTGAAGTGGTGAGTGGTGAGTGAAGTGGTGAGTGAAGTGGTGAGTGAAGTGGTGAGTGAAGTGAGTGAAGTGGTGAGTGAAGTGGTGAGTGAAGTGGTGAGTGGTGAGTGAAGTGGTGAGTGAAGTGGTGAGTGAAGTGGTGAGTGAAGTGAGTGAAGTGGTGAGTGAAGTGGTGAGTGAAGTGGTGAGTGGTGAGTGATGTGGTGAGTGAAGTGGTGAGTGAAGTGGTGAGTGAAGTGGTGAGCGAAGTGGTGAGCGAAGTGGTGAGTGAAGTGGTGAGCTAAGTGGTGAGTGAAGTGAGTGAAGTGGTGAGTGAAGTGAAGTGGTGAGTGAAGTGAAGTGGTGAGTGAAGTGGTGAGTGAAGTGGTGAGTGAAGTGGTGAGCAGTGAGTGAAGTGGTGAGTGAAGTGGTGAGTGAAGTGGTGAGTGTTGAGTGAAGTGGTGAATGAAGTGGTGAGTGTTGAGTGAAGTGGTGAGTGAAGTGGTGAGTGAAGTGTTGAGTGAAGTGGTGAGTGAAGTGGTGAGCGGTGAGTGAAGTGGTGAGTGAAGTGGTGAGTGGTGAGCGAAGTGGTGAGCGAAGTGGTGAGTGAAGTGCTGAGTGAAGTGTTGAGTGAAGTGTTGAGCGAAGTGCTGAGCGAAGTGGTGAGTGAAGTGGTGAGTGAAGTGGTGAGTGAAGTGAGTGAAGTGGTGAGTGAAGTGGTGAGTGAAGTGTTGAGTGAAGTGGTGAGTGTTGAGTGAAGTGGTGAGTGGTGAGTGAAGTGGTGAGTGAAGTGGTGAGTGATGAGTGAAGTGGTGAGTGAAGTGGTGAGTGGTGAGTGAAGTGGTGAGCGAAGTGGTGAGCGAAGTGCTGAGCGAAGTGGTGAGTGAAGTGGTGAGTGAAGTGGTGAGTGAAGTGGTGAGTGAAGTGTTGAGTGAAGTGGTGAGTGTTGAGTGAAGTGGTGAGTGGTGAGTGAAGTGGTGAGTGAAGTGGTGAGTGAAGTGAGTGAAGTGGTGAGTGAAGTGGTGAGTGGTGAGTGAAGTGGTGAGTGAAGTGAGTGAAGTGAGTGAGTGGTGAGTGAAGTGGTGAGTGGTGAGTGAAGTGGTGAGTGAAGTGGTGAGTGAAGTGGTGAGTGAATTGAGTGAAGTGGTGAGTGAAGTGGTGAGTGGTGAGTGAAGTGGTGAGTGAAGTGGTGAGTGAAGTGGTGAGCGAAGTGCTGAGTGAAGTGGTGAGTGAAGTGGTGAGTGAAGTGGTGAGTGGTGAGTGAAGTGGTGAGTGGTGAGTGAAGTGGTGAGTGAAGTGGTGAGTGAAGTGGTGAGTGGTGAGTGAAGTGGTGAGTGAAGTGAGTGAAGTGAGTGAGTGAAGTGGTGAGTGAAGTGGTGAGTGAAGTGAGTGAAGTGAAGTGGTGAGTGGTGAGTGAAGTGGTGAGTGGTGAGTGAAGTGGTGAGTGAAGTGGTGAGTGAAGTGAGTGAAGTGAAGTGGTGAGTGAAGTGGTGAGTGGTGAGTGAAGTGGTGAGCGAAGTGCTGAGCGAAGTGCTGAGCGAAGTGGTGAGTGAAGTGGTGAGTGAAGTGGTGAGTGAAGTGGTGAGCGAAGTGCTGAGCGAAGTGGTGAGTGAAGTGGTGAGCTAAGTGGTGAGTGAAGTGGTGAGCTAAGTGGTGAGCGAAGTGGTGAGCTAAGTGGTGAGTGAAGTGGTGAGCTAAGTGGTGAGCGAAGTGGTGAGTGAAGTGGTGAGCTAAGTGGTGAGTGAAGTGGTGAGCTAAGTGGTGAGTGAAGTGGTGAGTGAAGTGGTGAGTGAAGTGGTGAGTGAAGTGGTGAGCGAAGTGCTGAGTGAAGTGGTGAGTGAAGTGGTGAGTGAAGTGGTGAGTGAAGTGGTGAGTGAAGTGCTGAGTGAAGTGGTGAGCGAAGTGCTGAGCGAAGTGGTGAGTGAAGTGGTGAGTGAAGTGGTGAGCGAAGTGGTGAGTGAAGTGGTGAGCTAAGTGGTGAGCGAAGTGGTGAGCGAAGTGGTGAGCGAAGCGTTGACTTCGTGACCAGGTGAGACATCGTCACAGACAAGCCTGGTGGATTTGTAAAAATCGGTTTTAATCCATAAAAACCACACCCCCCCCCCCGCCCCTCCCAGAGTTGCAGAGAAGTTGCTCGCAACCGCGAGTCGCGAGCAACTCCGGTTGAACCTGTTGCACAAACCGCCCGCGCGTGTAAGAGACGCAGTTGCGCGCAACCGGTTGCGCGCAACCGGTTGCACACAACCGGTTGCACACAACCGGTTGCACACAACCGGTTGCACACAACCGGTTGCACACAACCGGTTGCACACAACCGGTTGCACACAACTGGTTGCCATGGGTGCAGAGCCGTTGCCAGCAACCAGGAGTCCGATCTACGCACGACACAAAATGACCCCTACAATTGTTGACCTTTGACACGTTGACCTCTTTGGTACAGCTGATGACCTTTAACAGTGAAATTGACCTTGACGCAAATCGCTCACTCACCCGCTCGCTCACTCACTCGCTCACCCGCTCACTCACCCGCTCACTCGCTCACCCGCTCACTCACCCGCTCGCTCACTCACTCGCTCACCCGCTCACTCACCCGCTCACTCGCTCACCCGCTCACTCACCCGCTCACTCACCCACTCGCTCACCCGCTCACTCACTCACCAGTTCACTCACTCACCCACTCACCCCCTCACTCACTCGCCCGTTCACTCACTCACCCACTCACCCGCTCACTCACTCGCCCGTTCACTCACTCACCCGCTCACTCACCCACCCACTCACTCGCTCACTCACTCACCCGTTCACTCGCTCACTCACTCGTTCACTCACTCACTCACTCACCCGTTCACTCACTCACTCACTCACCCGTTCACTCACTCACTCACTCACCCGTTCACTCACTCACTCACTCACCCGTTCACTCACTCACTCACTCACCCGTTCACTCACTCACTCACCCGTTCACTCACTCACTCACCCGTTCACTCACTCACTCACCCGTTCACTCACTCACTCACCCGTTCACTCACTCACTCACTCACCCGTTCACTCACTCACCCGTTCACTCACTCACCCGTTCACTCACTCACCCGTTCACTCACTCACTCACCCGTTCACTCACTCACTCATTCACTCACTCACTCATTCACTCACTCCCTCACCCGTTCACTCACTCCTTCACCCGTTCACTCACTCCCTCACCCGTTCACTCACTCACTCTCCCGTTCACTCACCCACCCGTTCACTCACCCACCCGTTCACTCACTCACTCACCCGCTCACTCACCTACTCACCCGCTCACTCACCTACTCACCCGCTCACTCACCCGCTCACTCACCCGCTCACTCACCCGCTCACTCACCCGCTCACTCACCCACCCATTCAGATATTCACTCGGACTCGTTGAGATAGACGGACACACGGACACAGAGAGACACGCGGAGACTCAGACTCTCTGCATTGAGGGTGGTCCCGAGGGAATGTCCGTGTCTCTGTCCGTGTCTCTGTCCGTGTCTCTGTCCGTGTCCCTGTCCGTGTCTCTGTCCGTGTCTCCGGAGAGACACGGGTGAGATAGCGCAGCATCTTCAACGGGAGGTGCCGTTGGAATGAGGTCCTGGGGATGTCTAGAGACACGGTGCGGACAGGGAGACACGGTGGGGACAGGGAGACACGGTGGGGACAGGGAGACACGGTGGGGACAGGGAGACAGTGGTGGGGACAGGGAGACAGTGGTGGGGACAGGGAGACAGTGGTGGTGGAGGGGGGGAGTGTTAGTTCCGGTTTAAGTACTCATGGCGTTAGTACTGATGGTGTGAGGCGAGTACCCAGGTGAGATAGACGGACACACACACACAGAGACAGGCGGAGACTCGTTGAGATAGACAACAACAACCGCCATTCGCCACTAAGTGGCGGTGACGTCACCACGACGCTTGTGCCAGGCCATGTGCACCTTGAGGCCACGTGAAGTGTCGAACGCCCGCTGGCAGGAGGTCACGGGGCAGACCCAGCAGGTGCCACGGGTCGACTGACTGAGACGACTGGCTGATGCACCACCTGTGCCCCCTACTGTGCCAACCTGCTGTGCTTTAGCCACCCGGCGCTCCGCTCGTTGTTGTGGGCGTCGCTCCTCCGCCCTCCGTTGTTGTTGGAGGGCGACTGCCTCCAACTGCCCAGCAGCGTCCTTCACGAGCCTCCTCCACAGAGGCCGATCTTGACACCGCTGGTACCAGTCATCGGCAAGTCCACTCAGCTCCACGTCCTCCTGTACCACATCACTCCATCTCTTCTCTAGCCCGTGCCGCGCCCATTTATCCCCCACGATCCGGCCGAACAAAAGCTGTTTCGGCATGCGGTGGCTGGGCATGCGGGCTACATGGCCCAGCCAACGCAGCCTTGCCTGCTGGAGGAGCTCACCGATGGGACCTTGCCCAGATCTTTCAAGGATTTGTGAGCTCCTCACACAATCCAGCCTGGTTAAACCCAGGATAGATCATAGGCAGGCCAGCCTAAATGTTTCTAACCGGCGAAGATGCTCCATTAGGGGGGTCCACGTTTCGCAAGCGTAGAGGAGGGAGGGAATGACCGTGGCCGAGAAGACCTGAAGCTTAGTGCGGAGCGACAGACCAGATAGCTTCCACACAGCGTTACGCAACCGATGAAAAGATATTGCCGCTCGACTGATTCGGAGCGAGACCTCTGCTGTTAAACCGGAGCCGGTCATGAGCACACTGCCCAGGAAGGGGAAACTCTCCACTCTCTCCACAACTGCCCCATCACCAATTGGGAGTTGTGGGGGTGGAGTGTCCGATGGTACAAAATACCCAGGCAGGTGCTTAGTTTTGGTGGGGCTGATGGTAAGGCCCCATCTCTTAGTGGTACGCTCCAGTCTCAGCAGCAGCGTCTCCAACTCCTCCTCTGAATGAGCAGCAATTACCAAATCATCGGCATACATAACGTGGTTGACTAATAGGGAGCCATCCCTTGACCGCACCCGGGCATCGATCAGCCTCCCATTATATCTGTACAAAATGGAAATTTCCCTGGTACAGCTATTGCAGGCTTCATGAACTACGTGGTCAAAATAGATGTTAAATAATGTGGGAGCCAGAGGACATCCCTGTCGCACCCCAACGTGAACAGGGAATAGCTCCGACTCCCGGCCACGTAGTTTTACCCGGGCCCGCTCACCATCATGAAGGTCCTTAATGATCGTGAGCAGCAGGTCAGGGACTCCAAAAGCACGAAGAACAACCCAGAGTTCAGGCCTACTGATGGTATCATAGGCCTTGACCAGGTCAATAAAACAGAGATGTAGGTCTTGTTGGAATTCCCTACACCTCTGCTGTAGCAGACGGACAGAAAATATGGCATCTGTGCAGGACCGCCCTTTCCTGAAGCCGCATTGGGGCTCCGCAAGCCTCTCCTCAGCGTGCCTGGCAAGGCGATGTTGAATAATCCTTGCCAGGACCTTTGCCGGCACACTGAGGAGTGAGATGCCCCTGTAGTTGTTACAGTCTGTGCGGTCCCCCTTCTTAAAGAGGGTGACCACCAGGGCATCCTTCCAATCCTGCGGAACCCGTCCAGTGGTCCAGACTGTTGTTATGATGTCATGTAGGGCAGTCTGTGCACAAACGCCACCCTCCCTCAGCATTTCGCTTGAGAGATCATCTCTGCCCGGTGCTTTTCCTGGTCTCAGACTCCGGATCGCCTTCAGTACTTCCTCAACAGATGGCACCTCAGCCAGCCACTCACAGGGGGTGACTTCTTCCTCCAATATTTGAGGCACCGCAGCCTCAGCAGGGTCATCCTCACTTTGTGCCACGATGTTTTCCAGGCTGAGGGATTTCTCCTCCTCCAGGACCTCACAGAAATGCTCAGCAAAATCTGCAAACCTTTTCCTGGGGGGGTTGGAGATTGGATCACCGTTTTTTCCCCTAATGATGGTAATAGGTGTGGCGCTGCAAGTTACTTTTTTGATGGAGTTAAATAGAGATTTGTGATCGCGGGCCACTGAGGCAGACTCCATCTCCTCAGCAACCCGCGACCACCACCCATCCTTGCAGCGCCTCACGGCTCTCCGAACCTCCGAGCGAAGGCTGCGGTAAGCCTCCTCATTCTCTGACGTGGGATTCTGTAGCCGGTGACAGTGGGCCTGTCGCTTTTTCTCAACCATCCTGAACACCTCCTCCGTCAGCCAGGGTCTCTGGGGAGGTCCGGACCGCGTACCCAAAGCAGCCATTGCAGCTGCATGAGTCACAGTCCTAAACCTCGCCCATTTGAGACAAGACGGACACAAATAAGACAAAGCTCCCCCGTGTAGCCTCGACGGACTGTAGGGGCAAGGTGCTGTTAGCGAGCACCTATTAAGGCGCACGCACACGCACACACACGCACACACACGCACACACACACACACGCACGCGGAGACTCAGACAGCGTTAAGTGCTCAACCAGGCGAGTACCTGGGTGAGTACCCGGGTGAGTACCCAGGTGAGTACCCTGGTGAGTAACCAGGTGAGTACCTGGGTGAGTACCCGGGTGAGTACCCGGGTGAGTACCCTGGTGAGTAACCATGTGAGTACCTGGGTGAGTGCCCAGGTGAGTACCCATGTGAGTGCCCGGGTGAGTACCCAGGCGAGTACCCTGGTGAGTACCCGGGTGAGTAACCATGTGAGTACCCGGGTGAGTACCCGGGTCAGTGCCCGGGTGAGTAACCATGTGAGTACCCGGGTGAGTACCCAGGTGAGTACCCATGTGAGTACCCAGGTGAGTACCCAGGTGAGTGCCCAGGTGAGTACCCAGGTGAGTACCTGGGTGAGTGCCCGGGTGAGTACCCGGGTGAGTAACCAGGTGAGTACCCGGGTGAGTACCCAGGTGAGTACCTGGGTGAGTAACCAGGTGAGTACCTGGGTGAGTAACCAGGTGAGTACCTGGGTGAGTACCCGGGCGAGTACCCGGGTGAGTACCCGGGTGAGTACCCGGGTGAGTGCCCGGGTCAGTACCCGGGTGAGTAACCAGGTGAGTACCCATGTGAGTACCCGGGTGAGTACCCAGGTGAGTACCTGGGTGAGTACCCGGGTGAGTAACCAGGCGAGTACCCAGGTGAGTACCCATGTGAGTACCCGGGTGAGTACCCAGGTACTCACCCAGGTACTCACCCAGGTGAGTACCCGGGTGAGTAACCAGGTGAGTACCCAGGTGAGTACCCATGTGAGTAACCAGGTGAGTACCCAGGTACTCACCCAGGTACTCACCCAGGTGAGTACCCGGGTGAGTAACCAGGTGAGTAACCAGGCGAGTACCCAGGTGAGTACCCAGGTGAGTAACCAGGCGAGTACCCGGGTGAGTAACCATGCGAGTACCCAGGTGAGTAACCATGCGAGTACCCAGGTGAGTAACCATGCGAGTACCCAGGTGAGTACCCAGGTGAGTACCCAGGTGAGTACCCAGGTGAGTACCCAGGTGAGTGCCCAGGTGAGTACCCAGGTGAGTACCCGGGTGAGTACCCGGGTGAGTACCCAGGTGAGTACCCAGGCGAGTACCCAGGTGAGTACCCAGGTGAGTAACCATGCGAGTACCCAGGTGAGTAACCATGCGAGTACCCAGGTGAGTACCCAGGTGAGTGCCCAGGTGAGTACCCAGGTGAGTACCCAGGTGAGTGCCCGGGTGAGTACCCAGGTGAGTACCCGGGTGAGTGCCCGTGCGAGTCGCTACCCAGCGCATCGCTCACCCGGGGTACTGCGGTGGGGGGCTGGCCCCCCCCCCCGCCTCGAGGCGCTCTCTCTGCACCTCGGCCACGACATCCTCATAGGAGGGAAGTCCAAACAGGCGGCCGCCCCCCCCCCCCTTCGTCCCCCCCCGCCTCCTCCCCCCCCGCCACGAGCCCCGGGCGGTAGGGGGGGGCCCCCCCCCCACCCTCCTCGTCGTCGTAGGGGGAGAGGGGCGTGCCCCCCGCGGGGAAGGCCGTGAGGGGGACCCTGGTGGGTGGGGGCGAGGGGGGGGGGGGAGGGGGAGAGGGGAGGGGGGAGAGGCGGAATCAGCGTCGTCGTCAATGTCGTCATGATCATCGTCGTCATCGTCATGATCGTCGTCATCGTCATGATCATCACCATCGCCATCAATGTCGTCATGATCATCGTCATTATCGTCGTCGCCATTGCCATCAATGTCGTCATGATCATCGCCATCATCATCGCCATCGTCATTAATGTCGTCAGGATCGTCATTATCATCATCGCCATCGTCATGATCATCGCCATCGCCATCGTCATCGTCATCAATGTCGTCATGATCGTCGTCATGATCGTCGTCATGATCGTCGCCATCGCCATCGTCATTAATATCGTCATGATCATCGTCATTATCATCATCGCCATCGTCATCAATGTCGTCATGATCATCGCCATCGTCATGATCATCGTCATTATCATCATCGCCATCGTCATGATCGCCATCGTCATGATCATCGTCGTCACCACCATCGTCATCAATGTCGTCATGATCATCGTCATTATCATCATCGTCATGATCATCGTCATCGTCATCAATGTCGTCATCAATGTCGTCATGATCATCGCCATCACCATCAGCATCATCAAACATAAACACTTCACCTGTTCACGGCCCTTCATTACTGACCCACTCATTCACTCACTCACCCTCTCACCCACTCACCCACCCACCCACTCACCCACTCACCCACTCACCCACCCACTCACCCACCCACCCACTCACCCACCCACCCACTCACCCACTCACCCACTCACCCACCCACCCACTCACCCACCCACCCACTCACCCTCTCACCCACCCACTCACCCACTCACTCACTCACCCACTCATTCACTCACCCACTCACCCACTCACTCACTCACCCACCCACCCACTCACTCACCCACCCACTCACCCACTCACTCACCCACTCACTCACCCACTCACTCACCCACTCATTCACTCACCCACTCATTCACTCACCCACTCACCCACCCACTCACCCACTCACCCACTCACCCACCCACTCACCCACTCACCCACTCACCCACCCACTCACCCACTCACCCACCCACCCACCCACTCACCCACTCACCCACTCACCCACCCACCCACCCACTCACCCACCCACTCACCCACCCACCCACTCACCCACCCACCCACTCACCCACTCACCCACTCACCCACTCACCCACTCACTCACCCACTCACCCACTCACTCACCCACTCACTCACTCACCCACTCATTCACCCACTCACTCACTCACCCACTCACTCACCCACTCACGCACTCACCCACTCACTCACCCACTCACTCACTCACCCACCCATTCACCCACTCACTCACTCACTCACCCACTCATTCACCCACCCACTCACCCTCTCACCCACCCACTCACCCACCCACTCACCCACTCACCCTCTCACCCACCCTCTCACCCACCCTCTCACCCACCCTCTCACCCACCCACTCACCCACCCACTCACCCACCCACCCACTCACCCACCCACCCACCCACTCACCCACCCACCCTCTCACCCACCCTCTCACCCACCCTCTCACCCAGCCACTCACCCACCCACTCACCCACCCACCCACCCACTCACCCACCCACCCACTCACCCACTCACTCACTCACCCACCCACTCACCCTCTCACCCACCCACCCACTCACCCACCCACTCACCCACCCACTCACCCACTCACTCACTCACTCACCCACTCACCCACCCACTCACCCACTCACCCACCCACTCACTCACCCACCCACTCACCCACTCACCCACCCACTCACTCACCCACCCACTCACTCACCCACTCACTCACCCACTCACTCACCCACTCACTCACCCACTCACTCACCCACTCACCCACCCACTCACTCACCCACCCACCCTCTCACCCACCCACTCACCCACTCACCCACCCACCCACTCACTCACCCACCCACCCACCCTCTCACCCACCCACTCACTCACCCACCCACCCTCTCACCCACCCACTCACCCACCCACTCACTCACTCACCCACCCACTCACCCACTCACTCACCCACTCACTCACTCACCCACTCATTCACTCACCCACTGACTCACCCTCTCACCCACTCACCCACTCACCCTCTCACCCACCCACCCACCCACCCTCTCACCCACCCACTCACTCACCCACCCACCCTCTCACCCACCCACTCACCCACCCACTCACTCACTCACCCACCCCCCCACCCACCCACCCCCCCCACCACCCACCCACCCCCCCACCCCCCCCCCCCCCACCACCCCCCCACCCACCCTTGGTGTGTGCTGTGTTTGTTGTGACGACAGCAGCACACCGCCACCACCATCAGCATCATCAAACATAAACACTTCACCTGTTCACGGCCCTTCATTACTGACCCACTCACCCACTCACCCACTCACTCACTCACTCACCCACCCACCCACTCACCCACTCACCCACCCACCCACTCACTCACTCACTCACCCACCCACTCACCACTCACTCACTCACTCACCCACCCACCCACTCACCCACCCACTCACCCACTCACTCACCCACTCACTCACTCACCCACTCATTCACTCACCCACTGACTCACCCTCTCACCCACTCACCCACTCACCCACTCACCCACTCACCCACTCACCCACTCACCCACCCACCCACTCACCCACTCACCCACTCACTCACCCACTCACTCACTCACCCACTCACTCACCCACTCACTCACTCACCCACCCACCCACCCACTCACTCACCCACCCATTCACCCACTCACTCACTCACCCACTCATTCACCCACCCACTCACCCTCTCACCCACCCACTCACCCACCCACTCACCCTCTCACCCACCCTCTCACCCACCCTCTCACCCACCCACTCACCCACCCACTCACCCACCCACCCACTCACCCACCCACCCACCCACTCACCCACTCACCCTCTCACCCACCCTCTCACCCACCCTCTCACCCACCCACTCACCCACCCACTCACCCACCCACTCACCCACCCACTCACCCACCCACCCACCCACCCACTCACCCACCCACTCACTCACCCACTCACTCACCCACTCACTCACCCACCCACTCACCCACTCACCCTCTCACTCACCCACCCACCCACCCACTCACCCACCCACCCACTCACCCACCCACTCACCCACCCACTCACCCACCCACTCACTCACTCACCCACCCTCTCACTCACCCACCCACCCACCCACTCACCCTCTCACTCACCCACCCACCACCCCCCCACCCACCCCCCCACCCACCCACCCCCCCCACCACCCACCCACCCCCCCACCCCCCCCCCCCCCCCCCCACCACCCCCCCACCCACCCTTGGTGTGTGCTGTGTTTGTTGTGACGACAGCAGCACACCGCCACCACCATCAGCATCATCAAACATAAACACTTCACCTGTTCACGGCCCTTCATTACTGACCCACTCACCCACTCACCCACTCACTCACTCACTCACCCACCCACCCACTCACCCACTCACCCACCCACCCACTCACTCACTCACTCACCCACCCACTCACCACTCACTCACTCACTCACTCACCCACCCACCCACTCACCCACCCACTCACCCACCCACTCACCCACCCACTCACCACTCACTCACTCACTCACCCACCCACCCACTCACCCACCCACTCACCCACCCACTCACCCACCCACTCACCCACTCACCCACTCACTCACTCACTCACCCACCCACTCACCCACCCACTCACCCACCCACTCACCCACCCACTCACCCACTCACCCACTCACCCACTCACTCACTCACTCACCCACCCACCCACTCACCCACCCACCCACCCACTCACCCACTCACCCACTCACTCACCCTCTCACTCACCCACCCACCCACCCACTCACCCACTCACTCTCTCACCCACTCACCCACTCACTCACCCACCCTCTCACTCACTCACCCACCCACTCACCCACCCACTCACCCACACACCCCCCCACCCACCCACCACCCCCCCACCCACCCTTGGTGTGTGCTGTGTTTGTTGTGACGACAGCAGCACACCGCCACGGCGGCCACAACCGCGAGGAGCACCAAGGCACTCAGCACCCCGCCCACCAGCATGGCCATGCGGTCAGACACCTGGGAGGTCGCTGCGGGGTCACGGGGGGTCACGGGGGGTCACGGGGGGTCAAGGGGGGTCAAGGAGCACCAAGGCACTCAGCACCCCGCCCACCAGCATGGCCATGCGGTCAGACACCTGGGAGGTCGCTGGGGGGTCACGGGGGGTCAAGGGGGGTCAAGGAGCACCAAGGCACTCAGCACCCCGCCCACCAGCATGGCCATGCGGTCAGACACCTGGGAGGTCGCTGGGGGGTCACGGGGGGTCAAGGGGGGTCAACGGGGGTCAAGGGGGGTCAAGGGGGGTCAAGGAGCACCAAGGCACTCAGCACCCCGCCCACCAGCATGGCCATGCGGTCAGACACCTGGGAGGTCGCTGCGGGGTCACGGGGGGTCACGGGGGGTCAAGGAGCACCAAGGCACTCAGCACCCCGCCCACCAGCATGGCCATGCGGTCAGACACCTGGGAGGTCGCTGGGGGGTCACGGGGGGTCAAGGGGGGTCAAGGAGCACCAAGGCACTCAGCACCCCGCCCACCAGCATGGCCATGCGGTCAGACACCTGGGAGGTCGCTGCGGGGTCACGAGGGGTCAAGGGGGGTCAAGGGGGGTCAAGGAGCACCAAGGCACTCAGCACCCCGCCCACCAGCATGGCCATGCGGTCAGACACCTGGGAGGTCGCTGGGGGGGTCACGGGGGGTCAAGGGGGGTCAAGGGGGGTCAAGGAGCACCAAGGCACTCAGCACCCCGCCCACCAGCATGGCCATGCGGTCAGACACCTGGGAGGTCGCTGGGGGGTCACGGGGGGTCAAGGAGCACCAAGGCACTCAGCACCCCGCCCACCAGCATGGCCATGCGGTCAGACACCTGGGAGGTCGCTGCGGGGTCACGGGGGGTCAAGGGGGGTCACGGGGGGTCAAGGAGCACCAAGGCACTCAGCACCCCGCCCACCAGCATGGCCATGCGGTCAGACACCTGGGAGGTCGCTGCGGGGTCACGGGGGGTCAAGGGGGGTCAAGGGGGGTCAAGGAGCACCAAGGCACTCAGCACCCCGCCCACCAGCATGGCCATGCGGTCAGACACCTGGGAGGTCGCTGGGGGGTCACGGGGGGTCAAGGGGGGTCACGGGGGGTCAAGGAGCACCAAGGCACTCAGCACCCCGCCCACCAGCATGGCCATGCGGTCAGACACCTGGGAGGTCGCTGCGGGGTCACGGGGGGTCAAGGGGGGTCACGGGGGGTCAAGGAGCACCAAGGCACTCAGCACCCCGCCCACCAGCATGGCCATGCGGTCAGACACCTGGGAGGTCGCTGCGGGGTCACGGGGGGTCAAGGGGGGTCAAGGGGGGTCAAGGAGCACCAAGGCACTCAGCACCCCGCCCACCAGCATGGCCATGCGGTCAGACACCTGGGAGGTCGCTGCGGGGTCACGGGGGGTCAAGGGGGGTCAAGGGGGGTCAAGGAGCACCAAGGCACTCAGCACCCCGCCCACCAGCATGGCCATGCGGTCAGACACCTGGGAGGTCGCTGGGGGGTCAAGGGGGGTCAAGGGGGGTCAAGGAGCACCAAGGCACTCAGCACCCCGCCCACCAGCATGGCCATGCGGTCAGACACCTGGGAGGTCGCTAGGGGGGTCACGGGGGGTCAAGGGGGTCAAGGGGGGTCAAGGGGGGTCAAGGGGAGCACACCGCCCACCAGCATGGCCATGCGGTCAGACACCTGGGAGGCCGCTAGGGGGGTCACGGGGGGTCAAGGGGGTCACGGGGGGTCACGGGGGTCACGGGGGGTCACGGGGGGTCACGGGGGGTCACGGGGGTCACGGGGGGTCAAGGGGGTTAAGGGGAGCACGGGGAGTCAAGGGGGGTCAAGGGGGGTCAAGGGGGGTCAAGGGGAGCACACCGCCCACCAGCATGGCCATGCGGTCAGACACCTGGGAGGTCGCTGGGGGGGTCACGGGGGTCAAGGGGGTCACGGGGGGTCAAGGGGGGTCAAGGGGGTCACGGGGGGTCAAGGGGAGCACCCCGCCCACCAGCATGGCCATGCGGTCAGACACCTGGGAGGTCGCTGGGGGGTCACGGGGGGTCAAGGGGGTCACGGGGGGTCAAGGGGGGTCAAGGGGGGTCAAGGGGGGTCAAGGGGAGCACGCCGCCCACCAGCATGGCCATGCGGTCAGACACCTGGGAGGTCGCTGGGGGGGTCACGGGGGGTCAAGGGGGGTCAAGGGGGGTCAAGGGGGGTCAAGGGGGGTCAAGGGGAGCACCCCGCCCACCAGCATGGCCATGCGGTCAGACACCTGGGAGGTCGCTGGGGGGGTCAAGGGGGGTCAAGGAGGGTCAAGGGAGGTCAAGGGGGGTCAAGGGGGGTCAAGGGGAGCACCCCGCCCACCAGCATGGCCATGCGGTCAGACACCTGGGAGGCCGCTGGGGGAGGGGTCAAGGGGGGTCAAGGGGGTCAAGGGGGGTCAAGGGGGGTCACGGGGGGTCAAGGGGGGTCAAGGGGGGTCAAGGGGAGCACCCCGCCCACCAGCATGGCCATGCGGTCAGACACCTGGGAGGCCGCTGGGGGAGGGGTCAAGGGGGGTCAAGGGGGTCAAGGGGAGCACGGGGAGTCAAGGGGGGTCAAGGGGGGTCAAGGGGAGCACCCCACCCACCAGCATGGCCATGCGGTCAGACACCTGGGAGGTCGCTGGGGGGTCACGGGGGGTCAAGGGGGGTCAAGGGGGGTCACGGGGGTCAAGGGGGGTCAAGGGGGTCACGGGGGGTCAAGGGGGGTCAAGGGGAGCACCCCGCCCACCAGCATGGCCATGCGGTCAGACACCTGGGAGGCCGCTAGGGGGGTCACGGGGGGTCAAGGGGGTCACGGGGGGTCACGGGGGGTCAAGGGGGGTCAAGGGGGGTCAAGGGGAGCACCCCGCCCACCAGCATGGCCATGCGGTCAGACACCTGGGAGGCCGCTGCGGCGGGTCACGGGGGTCAAGGGGGTCACGGGGGGTCACGGGGGGTCAAGGGGGGTCACGGGGGTCACGGGGAGCACACCGCCCACTAGCATGGCCATGCGGTCAGACACCTGGGAGGCCGCTGGGGGGGGTCACGGGGGGTCAAGGGGGGTCAAGGGGGGTCAAGGGGTTCACGGGGGTCACGGGGGGTCACGGGGGGTCAAGGGGGGTCAAGGGGAGCACGCCGCCCACCAGCATGGCCATGCGGTCAGACACCGGGGAGGCCGCTAGGGGGGTCACGGGGGGTCAAGGGGGGTCAAGGGGGTCAAGGGGGGTCAAGGGGGGAGGGGATCAAGGGGGGGGGTGAATCGGAGGGGCAGGAGGGGGGAGTCTCAAGAACTCGTGACACCACCTGTGTGACCCCACCTGTGTGACCCCACCTGTGTGACCCCACCTGTGTGACCCCACCTGTGTGACCCCACCTGTGTGACCTCACCTGTGTGACCCCACCTGTGTGACCCCAGCTGTGTGACCTCACCTGTGTGACCCCACCTGTGTGACCCCACCTGTGTGACCCCACCTGTGTGACCTCACCTGTGTGACCCCACCTGTGTGACCCCACCTGTGACCCCACCTGTGTGACCCCACCTGTGTGACCTCACCTGTGTGACCCCACCTGTGTGACCCCACCTGACCCCCGTGTGACCCCACCTGTGTGACCCCACCTGTGTGACCCCACCTGTGTGACCCCACCTGTGTGACCCCACCTGTGTGACCTCACCTGTGTGACCCCACCTGTGACCCCACCTGTGTGACCCCACCTGTGTGACCTCACCTGTGTGACCCCACCTGTGTGACCCCACCTGACCCCCGTGTGACCCCACCTGTGTGACCCCACCTGTGTGACCTCACCTGTGTGACCCCCACCTGTGTGACACCACCTGTGTGACCTCACCTGTGTGACCCCCACCTGTGTGACCCCACCTGTGACCCCACCTGTGTGACCCCACCTGACCCCCGTGTGACCCCACCTGTGTGACACCACCTGTGTGACCTCACCTGTGTGACCCCCACCTGTGTGACCCCACCTGTGTGACCCCACCTGTGTGACCCCACCTGTGACCTCACCTGTGTGACACCAGCTGTGTGACCCCACCTGTGACCTCACCTGTGTGACACCACCTGTGTGACCCCAGCTGTGACCTCACCTGTGTGACCCCAGCTGTGTGACCCCACCTGTGTGACCCCACCTGTGTGACCTCACCTGTGTGACCCCCACCTGTGTGACCCCACCTGTGACCCCACCTGTGTGACCCCACCTGTGACCCCACCTGTGTGACCCCACCTGTGTGACCCCACCTGTGTGACCCCACCTGTGTGACCCCACCTGTGTGACCCCACCTGTGACCTCACCTGTGTGACCCCACCTGTGTGACCCCACCTGTGTGACCCCACCTGTGACCCCACCTGTGTGTGACCCCACCTGTGTGACCCCACCTGTGTGACCCCACCTGTGACCCCACCTGTGTGACCCCACCTGTGTGACCCCACCTGTGTGACCCCAGCTGTGTGACCCCACCTGTGTGACCCCAGCTGTGTGACCCCACCTGTGTGACCTCACCTGTGTGACCCCACCTGTGTGACCCCACCTGTGTGACCTCACCTGTGTGACCCCACCTGTGTGACCCCACCTGTGTGACCCCACCTGTGTGACCCCACCTGTGACCCCACCTGTGTGACCCCACCTGTGTGACCTCACCTGTGTGACCCCACCTGTGTGACCCCACCTGTGTGTGACCCCACCTGTGTGACACCACCTGTGTGACACCACCTGCGTGACCTCACCTGTGTGACCTCACCTGTGTGACCCCACCTGTGTGACCCCACCTGTGTGACCCCACCTGACCCCCGCGTGACCCTAGGTAACCCAGCGTGACCCAACCTGACCCCACGTGTGACCCAGCGTAACCCTACCCGACCCCCGTGTGACCTTACCTGACCCCCGCGTGACCCTGCCTGACCCCCGCGTGACCCCCGTGTGACCCAACCTGACCTGATGTGTGACCCAGCGTGACCCCCGCGTGACCCCCGCGTGACCCCCGTGTGACCCCTCACTCACGAGGCTTGTTGTTCCCGTACGTCTGCCAGAAATCTCTCTGCGGAGACACACGGAGACACACACACGGAGACACACTCATGGAGAGACACACGGAGACACGGAGAGACACACGCAGAGACACACGCAGAGACACACGGAGACACGCAGAGAGACACGCAGAGAGACACGCAGAGAGACACGTAGAGACACACGCGGAGACACGCAAAGACACGGAGAGACACACGGAGACACACGCAGAGACACGCAGAGACACTCATGGAGAGACAGTCATGGAGAGACGCACGGAGACACGGAGAGACACTCACGGAGAGACACACGGAGAAAGACACACGGAGACACACAGAGACACACACGGAGACACACACAGAGAGACACACACGGAGACACACTCATGGAGAGACACACGGAGACACGCAGAGACACACGCAGAGACACACGCAGAGACACACGCAGAGACACACAGAGAGACACGCAGAGAGACACGCAGAGACACACACGGAGACACACACGGAGACACGCAGAGACACGGAGAGACACACGCAGAGACACACAGAGACACGCAGAGACACTCATGGAGAGACACACGGAGAGACACTCACGGAGAGACACACGGAGAGAGACACACGGAGACACACGCGGAGACACACACAGAGACACACACGGAGACACATACAGAGAGACACACACAGAGACACGCGGAGAGACACACGGAGACACACATGGAGAGACACTCATGGAGAGACACACGGAGACACACAGAGACACACGGAGAGACACTCACGGAGAGAGACACACGGAGAGACACAGGGAGAGACACTCACGGAGAGAGACACATGGAGGGACACAGGGAGAGACACACGGAGAGACACATGGAGACACACACGGAGACACACATGCAGAGACACACAGAGACACTCAAGGAGAGACACACGGAGACACACGGAGACACGCAGAGACACACGGAGAGACACTCACGGAGAGAGACACACGGAGAGACACATGCAGAGACACACGGAGAGACACACGGAGAGACACACGCGGAGACACACGGAGACACACACAGAGAGACACTCATGGAGACACACACACGGAGACACACGGAGAGACACACGGAGAGACACACGGAGAGACACACACGGAGAGACACACGGAGACACGCAGAGACACACGGAGAGACACACACGGAGAGACACACACGCAGAGACACACGGAGAGACACACAGAGAGACACACAGAGAGACACACAGAGAGACACTCGGAGACACACACGGAGAGACACGGAGAGACACGGAGAGACACACGGAGAGACATGGAGAGACACACGGAGAGACACACGGAGAGACACACACGGAGAGACACACACGGAGACACACACAGAGACACACACAGAGACACACACAGAGACACACACAGAGACACACGCAGTGACAGACGGAGGCACACGGAGAGACACTCACGGACAGAGACCCACACGGAGACACGCAGAGACACACGCAGAGACACACGGAGAGACGCAGAGAGACACACACGGAGACACGCAGTGACACACGGTGACACACGGAGACACGGTGGTGGTGGTGGTGGTGGCGGTGGCGGTGATGGTGGACATTGCAATGGTGGATGTGGTGGTGATGGACGTGGTGATGGTGGACGTGGTGGAGGTGGCGGTGGACGTGGCAGTGGTGGCGGTGGTGGTGGTGGTGGTGGTGATGGTGACGTTGGTGGTGATGGTGGTGGTGATGGTGGTGATGGTGATGGTGACGTTGGTGACGGTGGTGGTGATGGTGGTGATGGTGATGGTGGTGACGGTGATGTTGGTGGTGATGGTGGTGGTGGTGGTGATGGTGGTGGTGGTGGTGATGGTGGTGGTGGTGATGTTGGTAGTGGTGGTGGTGATGTTGGTGGTGATGGTGGTGATGGTGATGGTGGTGACGGTGATGTTGGTGGTGATGGTGGTGGTGATGGTGGTGGTGGTGATGTTGGTAGTGGTGGTGGTGACGGTGATGGTGGTGGTGGTGATGTTGGTGGTGGTGGTGGTGACCGTCACCGTCTTAGCGTCGTCCTCAAAGCACTCCCTCGCCTCCTCGTAGTCGCAGGTCTCCTCGCGACATTCACGCTCCAAGTCATCTCGGTGGAAGGCCTCTCGCTCGCCCACGTTGTTCATCAGCCGCCTCGACCTCCACGCACCACCACCACCACCGCCTCCACCGCCTCCGCCGCCACCGCCTCCACCGCCTCCGCCGCCACCGCCTCCACCGCCTCTGCCGCCACCACCGCCGGCCAGGAAGGCGTTGGCCTCGGCCTGGTCGAGCACCGGCAGAGCCAGAGGCGGCAAGTCGCCCTCGGCCTGCTGGGTGACTAAGGGGGCGGGGGAGGAGGGAGACGAGGGTGGTGGTGGTGGTGGACGTGGTGGTGGTGGTGGTGGTGGCGGCGGTGGTGGTGGTGATGGTGGAGGTGTTGGTGTTGGTGGTGGTGATGGTGGTGGTGGTGGTGGAGGTGATGGCGGAGGTGTTGGTGTTGGTGAAGGTGGTGGTGATGGTGGTGGTGATGGTGGAGGTGGTGCACGTGGTGGTGGTGGTGATGGTAGTGATGGTGGAAGTGATGGTAGTGATGGTGGAAGTGATGGTGGTGGTGGTGGTGGTGATGGTGTTGGTGGTGGTGATGGTGGTGGTGGAGGTGGTGGTGGTGGTGGTGATGGTGGTGGTGGTGGTGGTGATGGTGGTGATGGTGGTGGAGGTGGTGGTGGTGGTGGTGGTGGACGTGGTGGTGGTGGTGGAGGTGATGGTGGAGGTGTTGGTGTTGGTGAAGGTGGTGGTGGTGGTGGTGATGGTGGTGGTGGTGGAGGTGGTGTTGGTGGTGATGGTGGTGGTGATGGTGGTGGTGGTGGTGATGGTGGTGGAGGTGATGGTGGAGGTGATGGTGGAGGTGATGGTGGAGGTGATGGTGGAGGTGGTGGTGGTGATGGTGTTGGTGGTGGTGAAGGTGGTGGAGGTGATGGTGTGGAGGTTATGGTGCACGTGGTGGTGGACGTGGTGATGTTCGTGTTGGTGGTGGTGATGTTGGTGGTGGTGAAGGTGATGGTGAAGGTGGTGGTGGTGCACGTGGTGGTGGTGGTGAAAGTGATGGTGGAGGTGATGGTGGAGGTGATGGTGGACGTGGTGATGGAGGTGGTGTTGGTGATGGTGGACGTGGTGATGTTGGTGGTGGTGATGGTGGTGATGGTGGAGGTGATGGTGGTGATGGTGGTGGTGGTGGTGGTGGAGGTGATGGAGGTGATGGTGGTGATGGTGGTGGTGATGGTGGTGGTGATGGTGGAGGTGATGGTGGAGGTGGTGGTGGAGGTGGTGCACGTGGTGGTGGTGGTGGTGGTGGTGAAAGTGATGGTGGAGGTGATGGTGGAGGTGATGGTGGAGGTGATGGTGGAGGTGGTGGAGGTGATGGCGGTGATGGTGGTGGTGGTGGAGGTGATGGTGGTGATGGAGGTGGTGGTGGTGGAGGAGGTGGTGATGGTGGTGATGGTGGTGGTGATGGTGGTGGTGGCGGTGATGGTGATGGTGGAGGTGATGGTGATGGTGGTGATGATGGTGGTGGTGATGGTGGAGGTGATGGTGGTGGTGGTGGTGGTGATGGTGGAGGTGATGGTGGTGGTGGTGGTGATGGTGGTGGTGGTGATGGTTGTGATGGTGGTGGTGATGGTTGTGATGGTGATGGTGGAGGTGATGGTGGAGGCGATGGTGGTGATGGTGGTGATGGTGGCGGTGATGGTGGAGGTGATGGTGATGGTGGTGATGGTGGTGATGATGGTGGTGGTGATGGTGGAGGTGATGGTGGTGGTGGTGGGGATGGTGGAGGTGATGGTGGTGATGGTGGTGGTGGTGGTGATGGTGGTGGAGGTGGTGGTGGTGGTGATGGTGGTGATGGTGGTGGTGGTGGTGATGGTGGAGGTGGAGGTGATGGTGGTGATGGTGCACGTGGTGGTGGTGGTGATGGTGGTGGTGGTGGTGGAGGTGTTGGTGTTGGTGAAGGTGGTGGTGATGGTGGTGATGGTGGTGGTGGTGGACGTGGTGGTGGTGGTGATTGTGGTGATGGTGGTGGTGGTGGTGATGGTGGTGGTGGTTGTGGTGATGGTGGTGGTGGTGATGGTGGTGGTGGTGGTGGTGGTGGTGGTGGTGGTAGTGGTGGTGATGGTGGTGGACGTGGTGGTGGTGGTGATGGTGGTGATGGTGGTGGTGGTGGAGGTGGAGGTGATGGTGGTGATGGTGCACGTGGTGGTGGTGGTGGTGGTGGAGGTGTTGGTGTTGGTGAAGGTGGTGGTGATGGTGGTGATGGTGGTGGTGGTGGTGGACGTGGTGGTGGTGGTGATTGTGGTGATGGTGGTGGTGGTGGTGGAGGTGATGGTGGAGGTGATGGTGGAGGTGATGGTGGAGGTGGTGGAGGTGATGGCGGTGATGGTGGTGGTGGTGGAGGTGATGGTGGTGATGGAGGTGGTGGTGGTGGAGGAGGTGGTGATGGTGGTGATGGTGGTGGTGATGGTGGTGGTGGCGGTGATGGTGATGGTGGAGGTGATGGTGATGGTGGTGATGATGGTGGTGGTGATGGTGGAGGTGATGGTGGTGGTGGTGGTGGTGATGGTGGAGGTGATGGTGGTGGTGGTGGTGATGGTGGTGGTGGTGATGGTTGTGATGGTGGTGGTGATGGTTGTGATGGTGATGGTGGAGGTGATGGTGGAGGTGATGGTGGTGATGGTGGTGATGGTGGCGGTGATGGTGGAGGTGATGGTGATGGTGGTGATGGTGGTGATGATGGTGGTGGTGATGGTGGAGGTGATGGTGGTGGTGGTGGGGATGGTGGAGGTGATGGTGGTGATGGTGGTGGTGGTGGTGGTGATGGTGGTGGAGGTGGTGGTGGTGGTGATGGTGGTGATGGTGGTGGTGGTGGTGATGGTGGAGGTGGAGGTGATGGTGGTGATGGTGCACGTGGTGGTGGTGGTGATGGTGGTGGTGGTGGTGGAGGTGTTGGTGTTGGTGAAGGTGGTGGTGATGGTGGTGATGGTGGTGGTGGTGGTGGTGGACGTGGTGGTGGTGGTGATTGTGGTGATGGTGGTGGTGGTGGTGATGGTGGTGGTGGTTGTGGTGATGGTGGTGGTGGTGATGGTGGTGGACGTGGTGGTGGTGGTGGTGGTGGTAGTGGTGGTGATGGTGGTGGACGTGGTGGTGGTGGTGATGGTGGTGATGGTGGTGGTGGTGGAGGTGGAGGTGATGGTGGTGATGGTGCACGTGGTGGTGGTGGTGGTGGTGGAGGTGTTGGTGTTGGTGAAGGTGGTGGTGATGGTGGTGATGGTGGTGGTGGACGTGGTGGTGGTGGTGATTGTGGTGATGGTGGTGGTGGTGGTGATGGTGGTGGTGGTGATGGTGGTGGACGTGGTGGTGGTGGTGGTGGTAGTGGTGGTGATGGTGGTGGACGTGGTGGTGGTGGTGATGGTGGTGATGGTGGTGGTGGTGGTGATGGTGGTGATGGTGGTGGTGGTGGTGGTGATGGTGGTGGTGGTGGTGATGGTGGTGGTGGTGGTGGACGTGGTGGTGGTGGTAGTGGTGGTGATGGTGGTGGACGTGGTGGTGGTGGTGGTGGTGGAGGTGATGGTGAAGGTGGTGAAGGTGTTGGTGTTGGTGGTGGTGTAGGTGGTGGTGATGGTGGTGATGGAGGTGATGGTGGTGGTGGCGGTGGTGGCGGTGGTGCACGTGGTGGTGGTGATGGTAGTGATGGTGGAAGTGATGGTGAAGGTGGTGGTGGTGCACGTGGTGGTGGTGGTGAAAGTGATGGTGGAGGTGATGGTGGTGATGGTGGAGGTGATGGTGGACGTGGTGATGGAGGTGGTGTTGGTGATGGTGGACGTGGTGATGTTGGTGGTGGTGATGGTGGTGATGGTGGAGGTGATGGTGGTGATGGTGGTGGAGGTGATGGTGGAGGTGGTGGTGGAGGTGGTGGTGGTGGTGGTGAAAGTGATGGTGGAGGTGATGGTGGAGGTGATGGTGGAGGTGGTGGAGGTGATGGCGTTGATGGTGGTGGAGGAGGTGGTGATGGTGGTGATGGTGGAGGTGATGGTGATGGTGGTGATGATGGTGGTGGTGATGGTGGAGGTGATGGTGGTGATGGTGGTGGTGATGGTTGTGATGGTGATGATGGTGGTGATGATGGTTAGCACCGCACTGCGAGACCCGAGTTAAATTCCCGCTCACAGCCATCTAGAACTCCCTCCCCCCCTCACTACCATCACCCACGACCACCATCACCACCATCACCACCACCATCACCACCATCACCACCATCACCACCACTACCATCACCACCATCACTCACCACCATCAACACCATCAACCACGACCATCATCCACGACCATCACCACCATCACCACCACCACCACCATCATCACCACCATTACCCACTACCATCACCACCATTACCACCATCACTCACCACCATCACTTACCACCATCACCACCATCACCCACTACCATCACTACCATCACCACCATTACCCACTACCATCACCACCATCACCACCATCACTCACCACCATCACTACCATCACCCACTACCATTACCACCATCACCACCATCACTCACTACCATCACTACCATCACCACCATCACCCACTACCATCACCATCATCACCACCATCACTCACTACCATCACCACCATCACTACCATCACCACCATCACTCACTACCATCACCATCACCCACTACCATCACCACCATCACTACCATCACCACCATCACTCACTACCATCACCACCATCACTACCATCACTCACCACCATCACCACCATCACTCACCACCATCACTACCATCACCACCATCACTCACTACCATCACCACCATCACCACCATCACCCACTACCATCACCACCATCACCACCATCACTCACCATCACTCACTACCATCACCACCATCACCCACTACCATCACCACCATCACCACCATGACTCACTACCATCACCACCATCACCACCATCACTCACTACCATCACCACCATCACTACCATCACCACCATTACTCACCACCATCACCATCACCCACTACCATCACCACCATCACCACCATCACCACCATCACCATCACCACCATCACCCACTACCATCACCACCATCACCACCATCACCACTACCATCACCACCATCACCACCATCACCCACTACCATCACCACCATCACCACCATCACCCACTACCATCACCACCATCACTCACCACCATCACTACCATCACCACCATCACCACCATCACCCACTACCATCACCCACTACCATCACCACCATCACCACCATCACTCACCACCATCACCACCATCACCCACTACCATCACCCACTACCATTACCACCATCACCACCATCACTCACCACCATCACTACCATCACTACCATCACCACCATCACTCACTACCATTACCACCATCACCACCACCATCACCACCACCATCACTACCATCACCACCAACACCCACTACCATCACCCACTACCATCACCACCATCACTCACTACCATCACCACCATTACCACCATCACTACCATCACTCACTACCATCACTATCATCACCACCATCATCACCAACTACCATCACCACCATCACCCACTACCATCACCACCATCACTACCATCACCACCATCACCACCATCACTATCATCACTATCATCACCAACTACCATCACCACCATCATCCACTACCATCACCACCATCACCACCATCATCCACTACCATCACCACCATCACCACCATCACCACCATGACCCACTACCATCACCACCATCACCACCATCACCCACTACCATCACTATCATCACCCACTACCATCACCACCATCACCCACTACCATCACCACCATCACCCACTACCATCACCACCATCACCCACTACCATCACCACCATCACCCACTACCATCACCACCATCACCCACTACCATCACCATCATCACCACCATCACTCACTACCATCGCCACCATCACTACCATCACCACCATCACTCACTACCATCACCATCACCTACTACCATCACCACCATCACTACCATCACCCACTACCATCACCACCATCACTACCATCACTCACCACCATCACCACCATCACTCACCACCATCACTACCATCACCACCATCACTCACTACCATCACCACCATCACCACCATCACCCACTACCATCACCACCATCACCACCATCACTCACCATCACTCACTACCATCACCACCATCACCCACTACCATCACCACCATCACCACCATGACTCACTACCATCACCACCATCACCACCATCACTCACTACCATCACCACCATCACTACCATCACCACCATCACTCACCACCATCACCATCACCCACTACCATCACCACCATCACCACCATCACTCACTACCATCACCACCATCACCATCACCACCATCACCCACTACCATCACCACCATCACCACCATCACCCACTACCATCACCACCATCACCACCATCACCCACTACCATCACCACCATCACTCACCACCATCACTACCATCACCACCATCACCACCATCACCCACTACCATCACCCACTACCATCACCACCATCACCACCATCACTCACCACCATCACCACCATCACCCACTACCATCACCCACTACCATTACCACCATCACCACCATCACTCACCACCATCACTACCATCACTACCATTACCACCATCACCACCACCATCACCACCATCACCACCACCATCACTACCATCACCACCATCACCCACTACCATCACCCACTACCATCACCACCATCACTCACTACCATCACCACCATTACCACCATCACTACCATCACTCACTACCATCACTATCATCACCACCATCATCACCAACTACCATCACCACCATCACCCACTACCATCACCACCATCACTATCATCACTATCATCACCAACTACCATCACCACCATCATCCACTACCATCACCACCATCACCACCATCATCCACTACCATCACCACCATCACCACCATCACCACCATGACCCACTACCATCACCACCATCACCACCATCACCCACTACCATCACTATCATCACCCACTACCATCACCACCATCACCCACTACCATCACCACCATCACCCACTACCATCACCACCATCACCCACTACCATCACCACCATCACCCACTACCATCACCACCATCACTCACCACCATCACCACCATCACCCACTACCATCACCACCATGACCACCAATATCACCCAATACCACCACCCCCATCACCACAACCACCACCATCACCCCCATAACCACCATCCCCCATCACCACCATCACCACCATCACTCACCACCATCACTCACCACCACCACCACCATCACTCACCACCATCACCACCATCACTCACCATCACTCACTACCATCACTACCATCACCACCATCACCCACTACCATCACTACCATCACCCACCACCATCACCACCATCACTCACTACCATCACCCACTACCATCACCACCATCACTCACTACCATCACCCACTACCATCACCACCATCACTCACTACCATCACCCACTACCATCACCACCATCACCCACTACCATCACCACCATCACTCACCACCATCACTACCATCACCACCATCACCACCATCACCCACTACCATCACCCACTACCATCACCACCATCACCACCATCACTCACCACCATCACCACCATCACCCACTACCATCACCCACTACCATTACCACCATCACCACCATCACTCACCACCATCACTACCATCACTACCATTACCACCATCACCACCACCATCACCACCATCACCACCACCATCACTACCATCACCACCATCACCCACTACCATCACCCACTACCATCACCACCATCACTCACTACCATCACCACCATTACCACCATCACTACCATCACTCACTACCATCACTATCATCACCACCATCATCACCAACTACCATCACCACCATCACCCACTACCATCACCACCATCACTATCATCACTATCATCACCAACTACCATCACCACCATCATCCACTACCATCACCACCATCACCACCATCATCCACTACCATCACCACCATCACCACCATGACCCACTACCATCACCACCATCACCACCATCACCCACTACCATCACTATCATCACCCACTACCATCACCACCATCACCCACTACCATCACCACCATCACCCACTACCATCACCACCATCACCCACTACCATCACCACCATCACCCACTACCATCACCACCATCACTCACCACCATCACCACCATCACCCACTACCATCACCACCATGACCACCAATATCACCCAATACCACCACCCCCATCACCACAACCACCACCATCACCCCCATAACCACCATCCCCCATCACCACCATCACCACCATCACTCACCACCATCACTCACCACCACCACCACCATCACTCACCACCATCACCACCATCACTCACCATCACTCACTACCATCACTACCATCACCACCATCACCCACTACCATCACTACCATCACCCACCACCATCACCACCATCACTCACTACCATCACCCACTACCATCACCACCATCACTCACTACCATCACCCACTACCATCACCACCATCACTCACTACCATCACCACCATCACCACCACCCCATCACCACCACCCCCATCACCACCACCCCCATCACCACCACCCCCATCACCACCACCCCCATCACCACCATCACCCCCATCACCACCATCACCACCATCACCCCCATCACCACCACCCCCATCACCCCCATCACCACCACCCCCATCACCACCACCCCCATCACCATCACCCCCATCACCACCACCCCCATCACCCCCATCATCACCACCCCCATCACCACCACCCCCATCACCACCACCACCACCACCCCCATCACCATCACCCCCATCACCACCACCCCCATCACCACCATCACCACCATCACCACCACCACCACCACCCCCATCACCACCACCATCACCATCACCACCACCCCATCACCACCATCACCATCACCCCCATCACCATCACCCCCATCACCACCATCACCACCACCATCACCATCACCACCACCCCCATCACCATCACCCCCACCACCACCACCCCCATCACCCCCATCACCACCATCACCACCATCACCACCACCATCACCATCACCACCACCCCCATCACCATCACCCCCACCACCACCACCCCCATCACCCCCATCACCACCATCACCATCACCCCCATCACCACCATCACCACCACCACCATCACCACCACCCCCATCACCCCCACCACCCCCATCACCCCCATCACCATCACCACCCCATCACCATCACCCCCATCACCACCCCCACCACCCCCATCACCTGTTCGCGATGTCACGTGGCCCACTAGGCAGTGCGTCACTGCGAGCAGCAGCACCACGTGACTGCGTGCTCCCAGCATGCCTTGCGTCTGCACGTAGAGCAGGCAGACAACCACATGCATCACGTGGTCACACCGAGCCGTGACGCAGCACAACTCACGTGGTAATCATCAGCAGCATCAGCAGCATCAGCAGAATCAGCATCATCAGCAGCAGCAGCATCATGATCATCAGAAGCTTCATCAGCAGGATCATTATCATCATCAGCAGCATCATCACGATCATCACGATCATCAGCATCAGCAGCTTTAGCAGCATCACGATCATCAGCAGCAGCAACATCATCAGCAGCAACAGCATCAGCAGCAATATCATCATCAGCAACATCATCATCACCATCAGCAACATCAGCAACATCATGGTCGTCAGGATTATCATCAGCTGGTGTGTGTGGCGAGTGAGTGTACTGGTGAGTGTACTGGTGAGTGTACAGGTGAGTGTACTGGTGTGTGTGGCGAGTGAGTGAGTGTACAGGTGAGTGAGTGTACTGGTGAGTGTACGGGTGAGTGAGTGTACTGGTGAGTGTACTGGTGAGTGTACAGGTGAGTGAGTGTACAGGTGAGTGAGTGTACAGGTGAGTGTACTGGTAGGTGAGTGTACTGGTGAGTGAGTGTACTGGTAGGTGAGTGTACTGGTGAGTGTACAGGTGAGTGTACAGGTGAGTGTACTGGTGAGTGTACAGGTGAGTGTACAGTTGAGTGAGTGTACTGGTGAGTGAGTGTACAGGTGAGTGTACTGGTAGGTGAGTGTACTGGTAGGTGAGTGTACTGGTGAGTGTACAGGTGAGTGTACTGGTGAGTGTATAGTTGAGTGAGTGTACTGGTGAGTGAGTGTACAGGTGAGTGTACTGGTAGGTGAGTGTACTGGTGAGTGTACAGGTGAGTGTACTGGTGAGTGTACAGGTGAGTGTACAGTTGAGTGAGTGTACAGGTGAGTGAGTGTACAGGTGAGTGGACAGGTGAGTGAGTGTACAGGCGAATGAGTGTACAGGTGAGTGAGTGGACAGGTGAGTGAGTGGACAGGTGAGTGGATAGGTGAGTGGTGAGTGTACAGGTGAGTGTACAGTTGAGTGAGTGTACTGGTGAGTGAGTGTACAGGTGAGTGTACTGGTAGGTGAGTGTACAGGTGAGTGTACTGGTGAGTGTACAGGTGAGTGTACAGTTGAGTGAGTGTACAGGTGAGTGAGTGTACAGGTGAGTGGACAGGTGAGTGAGTGTACAGGCGAATGAGTGTACAGGTGAGTGAGTGGACAGGTGAGTGAGTGGACAGGTGAGTGGTGAGTGTACAGGTGAGTGTATAGGTGAGTGTACAGGTGAGTAGTGAGTGTACAGGTAAGTGGTGAGTGTACAGGTGAGTAGTGAGTGTGAAGGTGAGTGGTGAGTGTACAGGTGAGTGTATAGGTGAGTGTACAGGTGAGTGGTGAGTGTACAGGTGAGTGTATAGGTGAGTGTACAGGTGAGTAGTGGTGAGTGTACAGGTGAGTAGTGAGTGTACAGGTGAGTGGTGAGTGAGCGTACAGGTGAGTAGTGAGTGTACAGGTGAGTGGTGAGGGTATAGGTGAGTGTGAAGTTGAGTGGTGAGTGTACAGGTGAGTGGTGAGCGTGAAGGTGAGTGTACAGGTAAGTAGTAAGTGTACAGGTGAGTAGTGGTAAGTGTACAGATGAGTAGTGAGTGTACAGGTGAGTAGTGGTGAGTGTACAGGTGAACAGTGAGTGTACAGGTGAGTGTGAAGGTGAGTGGTGAGTGTACAGGTGAGTGGTGAGCGTGAAGGTGAGTGTACAGGTAAGTAGTAAGTGTACAGGTGAGTAGTGGTAAGTGTACAGGTGAGTAGTGAGTGTACAGGTGAGTGGTGGTGAGTGTACAGGTGAGCAGTGAGTGTACAGGTGAGTGTGAAGGTGAGTGGTGAGTGTACAGGTGAGTGGTGAGTGTACAGGTAAGTGGTGAGCGTGAAGGTGAGTGTACAGGTGAGTGAGTGTACAGGTGAGGTGAGTGTACAGGTGAGTGAGTGTACAGGTGAGTAGTGAGTGTACAGGTGAGTGGTGAGGGTACAGGTGAGTGTGAAGGTGAGTGGTGAGTGTACAGGTGAGTGGTGAGTGTACAGGTGAGTAGTGAGTGAGTGTAAAGGTGAGTAGTGAGTGGTGAGTGTACAGGCGAGTGCGAAGGTGAGTGTACAGGTGAGTGGTGAGTGTACAGGTGAGTGGTGAGTGTACAGGTGAGTGGTGAGTGTACAGGTGAGTGGTGAGTGTACAGGTGAGTAGTGGTGAGTGTACAGGTGAGTGGTGAGTGTACAGGTGAGTGGTGAGTGTACAGGTGAGTGTACTGGTGAGTGTACAGGTTAGTGTACAGTTGAGTGAGTGTACTGGTGAGTGAGTGTACAGGTGAGTGTACTGGTAGGTGAGTGTACTGGTAGGTGAGTGTACTGGTGAGTGTACAGGTGAGTGTACTGGTGAGTGTACAGGTGAGTGTACAGTTGAGTGAGTGTACTGGTGAGTGAGTGTACAGGTGAGTGTACTGGTAGGTGAGTGTACTGGTGAGTGTACAGGTGAGTGTACTGGTGAGTGTACAGGTGAGTGTACAGTTGAGTGAGTGTACAGGTGAGTGAGTGTACAGGTGAGTGGACAGGTGAGTGAGTGTACAGGCGAATGAGTGTACAGGTGAGTGAGTGGACAGGTGAGTGAGTGGACAGGTGAGTGGTGAGTGTACAGGTGAGTGTATAGGTGAGTGTACAGGTGAGTAGTGAGTGTACAGGTAAGTGGTGAGTGTACAGGTAAGTGGTGAGCGTGAAGGTGAGTGTACAGGTGAGTGAGTGTACAGGTGAGGTGAGTGTACAGGTGAGTGAGTGTACAGGTGAGTAGTGAGTGTACAGGTGAGTGGTGAGGGTACAGGTGAGTGTGAAGGTGAGTGGTGAGTGTACAGGTGAGTGGTGAGTGTACAGGTGAGTAGTGGTGAGTGTACAGGTGAGTGGTGAGTGTACAGGTGAGTGGTGAGTGTACAGGTGAGTGGTGAGTGAGCGTACAGGTGAGTGTGAGTGTACAGGTGAGTGTGAAGGTGAGTGTACAGGTGAGAAGTGAGTGTACAGGTGAGTGGTGAGGATACAGGTGAGTGTGAAGGTGAGTGTACAGGTGAGTAGTGAGTGAGTGTACAGGTGAGTGGTGAGTGAGTGTACAGGTGAGTGGTGAATGTACAGGTGAGGGTACAGGTGAGAGGTGAGTGTACAGGTGAGTAGTGAGTGTGAAGGTGAGTGGTGAGTGTACAGGTGAGTAGTGAGTGGTGAGTGTACAGGTGAGTGTACAGGTGAGTAGTGGTGAGTGTACATGTGAGTAGTGGTGAGTGTACAGGTGAGTGGTGAGTGTACAGGCGAGTGCGAAGGTGAGTGTACAGGTGAGTGGTGAGTGTACAGGTGAGTGGTGAGTGTACAGGTGAGTGGTGAGTGTACAGGTGAGTGGTGAGTGGTGAGTGTACAGGTGAGTGGTGAGTGTACAGGTGAGTAGTGGTGAGTGTACAGGTGAGTGGTGAGTGTACAGGTGAGTGGTGAGTGTACAGGTGAGTGGTGAGTGTACAGGTGAGTAGTGGTGAGTGTACAGGTGAGTGGTGAGTGTACAGATGAGTGGTGAGTGTACAGGTGAGTGTACTGGTGAGTGTACAGGTTAGTGTACAGTTGAGTGAGTGTACTGGTGAGTGAGTGTACAGGTGAGTGTACTGGTAGGTGAGTGTACTGGTAGGTGAGTGTACTGGTGAGTGTACAGGTGAGTGTACTGGTGAGTGTACAGGTGAGTGTACAGTTGAGTGAGTGTACTGGTGAGTGAGTGTACAGGTGAGTGTACTGGTAGGTGAGTGTACTGGTAGGTGAGTGTACTGGTGAGTGTACTGGTGAGTGTACAGGTGAGTGTACAGTTGAGTGAGTGTACAGGTGAGTGAGTGTACAGATGAGTGGACAGGTGAGTGAGTGTACAGGCGAATGAGTGTACAGGTGAGTGAGTGGACAGGTGAGTGAGTGGACAGGTGAGTGAGTGGACAGGTGAGTGAGTGGACAGGTGAGTGGATAGGTGAGTGGTGAGTGTACAGGTGAGTGTACAGTTGAGTGAGTGTACTGGTGAGTGAGTGTACAGGTGAGTGTACTGGTAGGTGAGTGTACAGGTGAGTGTACTGGTGAGTGTACAGGTGAGTGTACAGTTGAGTGAGTGTACAGGTGAGTGAGTGTACAGGTGAGTGGACAGGTGAGTGAGTGTACAGGCGAATGAGTGTACAGGTGAGTGAGTGGACAGGTGAGTGAGTGGACAGGTGAGTGGTGAGTGTACAGGTGAGTGTATAGGTGAGTGTACAGGTGAGTAGTGAGTGTACAGGTAAGTGGTGAGTGTACAGGTGAGTAGTGAGTGTGAAGGTGAGTGGTGAGTGTACAGGTGAGTGTATAGGTGAGTGTACAGGTGAGTGGTGAGTGAGTGTACAGGTGAGTGGTGAGTGTACAGGTGAGTGTATAGGTGAGTGTACAGGTGAGTAGTGGTGAGTGTACAGGTGAGTAGTGAGTGTACAGGTGAGTGGTGAGTGAGCGTACAGGTGAGTTGTGAGTGTACAGGTGAGTGGTGAGGGTATAGGTGAGTGTGAAGTTGAGTGGTGAGAGTACAGGTGAGTGGTGAGCGTGAAGGTGAGTGTACAGGTAAGTAGTAAGTGTACAGGTGAGTAGTGGTAAGGGTACAGGTGAGTAGTGAGTGTACAGGTGAGTAGTGGTGAGTGTACAGGTGAACAGTGAGTGTACAGGTGAGTGTGAAGGTGAGTGGTGAGTGTACAGGTGAGTGGTGAGCGTGAAGGTGAGTGTACAGGTGAGTAGTAAGTGTACAGGTGAGTAGTGGTAAGTGTACAGGTGAGTAGTGAGTGTACAGGTGAGTAGTGAGTGTACAGGTGAGTGGTGGTGAGTGTACAGGTGAGCAGTGAGTGTACAGGTGAGTGTGAAGGTGAGTAGTGAGTGTACAGGTGAGTGGTGAGTGTACAGGTGAGTGGTGAGCGTGAAGGTGAGTGTACAGGTGAGTGAGTGTACAGGTGAGGTGAGTGTACAGGTGAGTGAGTGTACAGGTGAGTAGTGAGTGTACAGGTGAGTGGTGAGGGTACAGGTGAGTGTGAAGGTGAGTGGTGAGTGTACAGGTGAGTGGTGAGTGTACAGGTGAGTAGTGGTGAGTGTACAGGTGAGTGGTGAGTGTACAGGTGAGTGGTGAGTGTACAGGTGAGTGAGTGTACAGGTGAGTGTACAGGTGAGTGTACAGGTGAGTAGTGAGTGAGTGTACAGGTGAGTGTACAGGTGAGTGAGTGTACAGGTGAGTAGTGGTGGGTATACAGGTGAGTAGTGGTGAGTGTACAGGTGAGTGGTGAGTGTACAGGTGAGTGGTGAGTGTACAGGTGAGTAGTGGTGAGTGTACAGTTGAGTAGTGGTGAGTGTACAGGTGAGTGGTGAGTGAGTGTACAGGTGAGTGAGTGTACAGGTGAGTGTACAAGTGAATGGTGGTGAGTGTACAGGTGAGTGTACAGGTGAGTGTACAGGTGAGTGTATAGGTGAGTAGTGGTGAGTAGTGGTGAGTGTACAGGTGGGTGGTGGTGAGTGTGTAGGTGAGTGTACAGGTGAGTGTATAGGTGAGTGTACAGGTGAGTGTACAGGTGAGTGGTGGTGAGTGTGCAGGTGAGTAGTGGTGAGTGTACAGGTGAGTGGTGGTGAGTGTACAGGTGAGTAGTGGTGAGTGTATAGGTGAGTGTACAGGTGAGTGTACAGGTGAGTGGTGGTGAGTGTACAGGTGAGTGGTGGTGAGTGTACAGGTGAGTGGTGGTGAGTGTACAGGTGAGTGTACAGGTGAGTGGTGGTGAGTGTACAGGTGAGTGAGTGTACAGGTGAGTGTACAGGTGAATGGTGGTGAGTGTACAGGTGAGTGTACAGGTGAGTGTACAGGTGAGTGTGGTGGTGAGTGTACAGGTGAGTAGTGGTGAGTGTACAGGTGAGTGAGTGTACAGGTGAGTGTACAGGTGAGTGTACAGGTGAGTAGTGGTGAGTGTACAGGTGAGTGGTGAGTGGTGAGTGGTAGTGAGTGTACAGGTGAGTGGTGAGTGGTAGTGAGTGTACAGGTGAGTGAGTGTACAGGTGAGTGTACAGGTGAGTGGTGGTGAGTGTACAGGTGAGTGGTGGTGAGTGTACAGGTGAGTGGTGGTGAGTGTGAAGGTGAGTGGTGGTGAGTGTACAGGTGAGTGGTGGTGAGTGTACAGGTGAGTGTACAGGTGAGTGGTGGTGAGTGTACAGGTGAGTGGTGGTGAGTGTACAGGTGAGTGGTGGTGAGTGTACAGGTGAGTAGTGGTGAGTGTACAGGTGATTGGTGGTGAGTGTACAGGTGAGTGGTGGTGAGTGTACAGGTGAGTGGTGGTGAGTGTACAGGTGAGTGGTGGTGAGTGTACAAGTGAGTGGTGGTGAGTGTACAGGTGAGTGGTGGTGAGTGTACAGGTGAGCGAGTGTACAGGTGAGTGTACAGGTGAGTGGTGGTGAGTGTACAGGTGAGTGGTGGTGAGTGTACAGGTGAGTGGTGGTGAGTGTACAGGTGAGTAGTGGTGAGTGTACAGGTGATTGGTGGTGAGTGTACAGGTGAGTGGTGGTGAGTGTACAGGTGAGTGGTGGTGAGTGTACAGGTGAGTGTACAGGTGAGTGGTGAGTGGTGAGTGGTAGTGAGTGTACAGGTGAGTGGTGAGTGTATAGGTGAGTGTACAGGTGAGTGGTGGTGAGTGTCCAGGTGAGTGGTGGTGAGTGTCCAGGTGAGTGGTGGTGAGTGTGAAGGTGAGTGGTGGTGAGTGTACAAGTGAGTGGTGGTGAGTGTACAGGTGAGTGGTGTTGAGTGTACAGGTGAGTAGTGGTGAGTGTACAGGTGAGTAGTGGTGAGTGTACAGGTGAGTGGTGGTGAGTGTACAGGTGAGTGTACAGGTGAGTGGTGAGTGAGTGTACAGGTGAGTGTACAGGTGAGTGGTGGTGAGTGTACAGGTGAGTGGTGGTGGTGTACAGGTGAGTGGTGGTGAGTGTACAGGTGAGTGGTGGTGAGTGTACAGGTGAGTGGTGGTGAGTGTACAGGTGAGTAGTGGTGAGTGTACAGGTGATTGGTGGTGAGTGTACAGGTGAGTGGTGGTGAGTGTACAGGTGAGTGGTGGTGAGTGTACAGGTGAGTGTACAGGTGAGTGGTGAGTGGTGAGTGGTAGTGAGTGTACAGGTGAGTGGTGAGTGTATAGGTGAGTGTACAGGTGAGTGGTGGTGAGTGTCCAGGTGAGTGGTGGTGAGTGTCCAGGTGAGTGGTGGTGAGTGTGAAGGTGAGTGGTGGTGAGTGTACAAGTGAGTGGTGGTGAGTGTACAGGTGAGTGGTGGTGAGTGTACAGGTGAGTAGTGGTGAGTGTACAGGTGAGTAGTGGTGAGTGTACAGGTGAGTGGTGGTGAGTGTACAGGTGAGTGTACAGGTGAGTGGTGAGTGAGTGTACAGGTGAGTGTACAGGTGAGTGGTGGTGAGTGTACAGGTGAGTGGTGGTGGTGTACAGGTGAGTGGTGGTGAGTGTGAAGGTGAGTGAGTGTACAGGTGAGTGTACAGGTGAGTGTACAGGTGAGTGGTGGTGAGTGTACAGGTGAGTGGTGGTGAGTGTACAGGTGAGTGTACAGGTGAGTGGTGGTGAGTGTACAGGTGAGTGAGTGTACAGGTGAGTGTACAGGTGAATGGTGGTGAGTGTACAGGTGAGTGTACAGGTGAGTGTACAGGTGAGTGTGGTGGTGAGTGTACAGGTGAGTAGTGGTGAGTGTACAGGTGAGTGAGTGTACAGGTGAGTGTACAGGTGAGTGTACAGGTGAGTAGTGGTGAGTGTACAGGTGAGTGGTGAGTGGTAGTGAGTGTACAGGTGAGTGTATAGGTGAGTGTACAGGTGAGTGGTGGTGAGTGTACAGGTGAGTGGTGGTGAGTGTCCAGGTGAGTGGTGGTGAGTGTACAGGTGAGTGGTGGTGAGTGTACAGGTGAGTAGTGGTGAGTGTACAGGTGAGTAGTGGTGAGTGTACAGGTGATTGGTGGTGAGTGTACAGGTGAGTGGTGGTGAGTGTACAGGTGAGTGGTGGTGAGTGTACAGGTGAGTGGTGAGTGGTGAGTGGTAGTGAGTGTACAGGTGAGTGGTGAGTGTATAGGTGAGTGTACAGGTGAGTGGTGGTGAGTGTACAGGTGAGTGGTGGTGAGTGTACAGGTGAGTGGTGGTGAGTGTACAGGTGAGTGGTGGTGAGTGTACAGGTGAGTGGTGGTGAGTGTACAGGTGAGTGTACAGGTGAGTGGTGGTGAGTGTACAGGTGAGTGGTGGTGAGTGTACAGGTGAGTGGTGGTGAGTGTGAAGGTGAGTGTACAGGTGAGTGGTGGTGAGTGTACAGGTGAGTGGTGGTGAGTGTACAGGTGAGTGTACAGGTGAGTGGTGAGTGGTGAGTGGTAGTGAGTGTACAGGTGAGTGGTGAGTGTATAGGTGAGTGTACAGGTGAGTGGTGGTGAGTGTACAGGTGAGTGGTGGTGAGTGTACAGGTGAGTGGTGGTGAGTGTACAGGTGAGTGTACAGGTGAGTGGTGGTGAGTGTACAGGTGAGTGGTGGTGAGTGTACAGGTGAGTGGTGGTGAGTGTACAGGTGAGTGGTGGTGAGTGTACAGGTGAGTGTACAGGTGAGTGGTGGTGAGTGTGAAGGTGAGTGAGTGTACAGGTGAGTGTACAGGTGAGTGGTGGTGAGTGTACAGGTGAGTGGTGGTGAGTGTGAAGGTTCCTCACCTTTGTTACCTCACCGACTGAGCACACCCTACCACCAACTTCCTGTGACCACGCCTCCCCTCCTCTCTACCTCTTCCGGAAGACTTTAAATAATTTACGAACGTCTTCCTTTTTTTTGTTACGCAACATCTTCCAGAAGAGGTAGACATCTTCCGGAAGCAACATTGCCCACAGTCTTCCGGAAGATACCCCGTGTCTCTACCTCTTCCGGAAGACGGTAGCTAATGTACGCACTGTTGTTTTTTTCTCAACACCGTCATCCGGAAGAGGTAGACGTCTTCCGGAAGATATGTTGGCCGCAGTCTTCCGGAAGACACGCCATGTGTCTACCTCTTCCGGAAGGCGGTAGCTTGTGTACCCACTGTTGTTTTTTTTAACACGATTTCATCCGGAAGAGGTAGACGTCTTCCGGAAGATATGTTGGCCGCAGTCTTCCGGAAGACACGCCATGTGTCTACTTCTTCCGGAAGACGGTAGCTTATGTCTGCACTGTTATTGTTTTTTTTAAACACTATGTCATCCGGAAGAGGTAGACGTCTTCCGGAAGCTCTGATGGCCACAGTCTTCCGGAAGACACGCCATGTCTCTACCTCTTCCGGAAGACGGGAAAGGCGTGGTGGGTAGGGAGGGGCGTGGCAGCAAATAAAACTGACGGAAGACCACTTCCGTTTTTGGAAGATTTCCCTTCCCGTTTCGGCAAACGTATTCCACTAATTTTTTAAATTCACTTTATTTTAATTTTGTATTATTTTACTTTTATTATTTAGTTTTTCTATCTACGTGACTTCACCGAAAGAACCATAGAATATCAATTCCTACAGTCGCGAAAGGTTTTGGACGTCGTCTTCTGTTTTAGGAAGACGTTTTCCGTTATCGGAAGGTCTCTTCCGTTTTCGGAAGATTACTTCCGTGTTCGAAATCCGCCTTCCCCTGTTTTTTTGGTAGACGTCTTCCGTTTTCGGACGACGTCTTCCGATTTCGGAAGACCTCACAACAACACAACGCCGCAGCGGGCGATAAAACTCGGACGACGTTGGCACTCCAGGTGGATCTGCCGGGCATTTCAGTCGGGCAAAACCATGACCTCCGACTCATGCACCTAGCCTGGCACAGCAGTCAACACAGGGCACCTGCAGGGTCTGTCACGTGACCTCCTGCACCTAGCCTGGCACAGCAGTCAACCCATGGCACCTGCTGGGTCTGTCCCGTGACCTCCGACTCATGCACCTAGCCTGGCACAGCAGTCAACACATGGCACCTGCAGGGTCTGTCACGTGACCTCCTGCACCTAGCCTGGCACAGCAGTCAACCCATGGCACCTGCTGGGTCTGTCCCGTGACCTCCTCATGCACCTAGCCTGGCACAGCAGTCAACCCATGGCACCTGCTGGGTCTGTCACGTGACCTCCGACTCATGCACCTAGCCTGGCACAGCAGTCAACACATGGCACCTGCAGGGTCTGTCACGTGACCTCCTGCACCTAGCCTGGCACAGCAGTCAACCCATGGCACCTGCTGGGTCTGTCCCGTGACCTCCTCATGCACCTAGCCTGGCACAGCAGTCAACCCGTGGCACCTGCTGGGTCTGTCCCGTGACCTCCTCCTCCTGCACCTAGCCTGGCACAGCAGTCAACCCATGGCACCTGCTGGGTCTGTCCCATGAGCTGCACCTTGCCGCCCGGCGCTCCACTCGTTGTTGTGAGCGTCGCTCCTCCGCCCTGCGTTGTTGTTGGAGGGCGACTGCCTCCAACTGCCCAGCAGCGTCCTTCACGAGCCTCCTCCACAGAGGCCGATCTTGACACCGCTGGTTCCAGTCATCGGCAAGTCCACTCAGCTCCACGTCCTCCTGTACCACATCACTCCATCTCTTCTCTAGCCCGTGCCGCGCCCGCTTAGCCCCCTCGATCCGGCCGAACAAAAGCTGTTTAAGCATGCGGTGGCTGGGCATGCGGGCTACATGACCCAGCCAACGCAGCCTTGCCTGCCGGAGGAGCTCACCGATGGGACTTTTTTCCAGATCTTTCGAGGGTTTGTGAGGTCCTCACACAATCCAGCCTAGTTAAACCCAGGATGGATCGTAGGCAGGCCAGCCTAAATGTTTCTAACTGGCGAAGATATTCCATTCGAGGGGGTCCACGTTTCGTAAGTGTAGAGAAGGGAGGGAATGACCGTGGCCGAGAAGACCTGAAGCTTAGTGCGGAGCGACAGACCAGGTAGCTTCCACACAGCGTTACGCAGCCAATCAAAATATATTGCCGCTCGACTGATTCGGAGTGAGACCTCTGCTGTCAAACCGGAGCCGGTCATGAGCACACTGCCCAGGTATGGGGAACTCTCCACTCATTCCACAACTGCCCCTTCACCGATTGGGAGTTGTGGGGGTGGAGTGTCCGATGGTACAAAATACCCAGGCAGGTGCTTAGTTTTGGTGGGGCTGATGGTAAGGCCCCACCTCTTAGTGGCACGCTCCAGTCTCAGCAGCAGCGTCTCCACCTCCTGCTCTGAGTAGCAATTACCAGATCATCGGCATACATAATATGGTTGATCAATAGGGAGCCATCCCTTGACCGCACCCGGGCATCGATCAGCCTCCCATTATATCTGTACCCGATGGAAATTTCTCCAGTATAGCTATTGAGGGCTTCACAAACTACGTGGTCGAAATAGATGTTAAATCATGTGGGAGCCAGAGGACATCCCTGTCGCACCCCAAGGTGTACAGGGAACGGCTCTGACTCCCGGCCACGTAGTTTTACCCGGGCCCGCTCACCATCATGAAGGTCCTTAATGATCGTGAGCAGAGGGTCAGGCACTCCAAAAGCACGAAGAACAACCCAGAGCCCAGGCCAACTGATGGTATCATAGGCCTTGACCAGGTCAATAAAGCAGAGATGTAGGTCTTGTTGGAATTCCCTACACCTCTGTTGTAGCAGACGGACAGAAAATATGGCATCTGTGCAGGACCGCCCTTTCCTGAAACTGCATTGGGGCTCCACACGCCTCTCCTCAGCGTGCCTGGCAAGGCGATGTTGAATAATCCTTGCCAGGACCTTTCCCGGCACACTGAGGAGTGAGAAGCCCCTGTAGTTGTTACAGTCTGTGCGGTCCCCCTTAATTAAAAGGGGGACCACCAGGGCATCCTTCCAATCCTGCGGAACCCGTCCAGTGGTCAAGACTGTTGTTATGATGTCATATAGGGCAGTCTGTGCACAAACGCCACCCTCCCTCAGCATTTCGCTTGGGAGATCATCTCTGCCCGCTGCCTTTCCTGGTCTCTGGATCGCCTTCAGTACTTCCTCAACAGATGGCACCTCAGCCAGCCACTCACAGGGGGTGACTTCTTCCAATATTTGAGGCACCGCAGCCTCAGCAGGGTCATCCTCACTTTGTGCCACGATGTTTTCCTGGCTGAGGGATTTTCCCTCCCCCAGGACCTCACAGAAATGCTCAGCAAATCTGCAAACCTGTTCCTGGGGGTCGGAGATTGGGTCACCGTTTTTTCCCCTAATGATGGTAATAGGTGTGGTGCTGCAGGTTACTTTTTTGATGGAGTTAAATAGAGATTTGTGATCGTGGGCCACTGAGGCAGACTCCATCTCCTCAGCAACCCGTGACCACCACCCATCCTTGCAGCGCTTCACGGCTCTCTGAACCTCCGAGCGAAGGTTGCGGTAAGCCTCCTCATTCTCTGACGTGGGATTCTGTAGCCGATGACAGTGGGCCTGTCGCTTTTTCTCAACCATCCTGAACACCTCCTCTGTCAGCCAGGGTCTCTGGGGAGGTCCTGACCGCGTACCCAAAGCAGACATTGCAGCCGCATGAGTCACAGTTCTAAACCTCGCCCATTTACCCTCGACATCAGGAGGAGTGGGGTACGATGCCAACCCCAGCCGCAGGTGATGATGAAATTCTCGCTTGCAACTTTCATCAGATAACCGAGACCAGGCCACTTTTGGTTGGAATGGGGTCCTGGGTGTACACCCACCACCGGAGCGGAAGAATGGGCGGCGCATCTTACAGATGACAAGTCGATGGTCAGAGGGCAGATCAGCTCCACGGTAGGTCCTGGTGTCAAGGACATGGGCTCGCATCCGCTGGTCCATCACTATGTAGTCTAGCAGATGTTCTTGCTTGGACCCGGCTTGCATCCATGATGTTGTGTGGATGCGTCGATGCCGGAACAGCGTGTTGGTAATTACAAGTCCATGGGCTGCACAAAAATCTAGCAGCCTCCTACTGTTGTTATTAAGCTGATCCAGCCCATGCCCTCCAATCACTCCAGGCCAGGTGCCAGCATCATAACCAACTCGGGCTTTGAAGTCACCCAACAAGATGACTCTATCCCGAGGGGCCACTTTAGCCAGCACCTGTGACAGGAGGTCATAGAAGGCAATTCACTCATTGGCCTTGCCTGCATCCCTCCACGGATGTTCGTCTTCGGTGGTGGCATAAGTAACCACGACCACCAATCCTCGCCTCCGATTGATGGGAAGGCGAGCCCAAAGTAGCCTGGGGCTTACAGCTTCCCACACCTCACCGCCACGCTCCCACACCCCCTTCATTCCTTTGTTCAAAAGAAGAGCCACACCCTGTTGTTTGGCAGTCTCCTGCCCCGAGTAGAGGACTGTCCACCCCTCATGGTGGCAGGAGCCAGAACCGGTCCACCGGACCTCCTGAATGCCACAGAGATCCAGGCGGTACCGGTCCAGCTCCCGACAGAGGAGTGGCAGCCTCTCCTCCGCAGTGAGCGTTCGAACATTCCACGTGGCCATCCGTAATGGCTTTTCGTTGTTTCTGGAGGAGCCCCGAGGGTTGAGATTCAATCTCCTGGCTCCGCCAATTGGGGTTTGGCCAGGAGACGTCATAGACGCTTGCCCCCCCGGGGCCTCCGGCACAAGCTTATTTGTTACATATTTAAGTTTAAGTCGTAGTTTCGTGGTAATTCTTTGAAGGTGGAGGGGTTACCAGCCCCTCGCACCCATCCAGAGCCCCCGTTTAGCCCCTGTGGTGGTCACAGACTCCATGAGGGGAGGAGCCAATCGGAATTGGCCCTCCCCCCACAGCACTGTCCACGACAGAGT